CGCATGCCACAAGCCTTGTGCTCCCACGTACTTTACAACTGACTAATTCAAATGCATCAAATTCATGATTAAATTAATTTTTCCGATATGGTACATTACCTCTGCACAGAGATATAGCTATTCTAGTTCAGTGTTCCACATATATTTACAGATTTTTGTGGGATACCTCCTCCTTCTTCCCTATATGTTAGGGCATTTGCCATCTTCAGTTCTTTCCCTCCATACATGGCTTCTTTGCTTTTGGGATCTTCTAGGGTGGAACAGTACCATTTGTTTACCATTCACTGCTAATAGGGACTTATGGTCAGTTCTTTTTCTCCACTGGTCCATTTCTTGGGGCTACTCATTTCCATTTAGAGTCGCATAGGGTATCTGTGAGGCTATATTGAATTTTTTTTTTGGTTGCTCTTTTGTTTCATTCTAAGACATTGTCATCTTTATTCATTTTACATGTCCAGCACCTTCCCATCCTTTACCTGTCCTACCAAGGAGTTTATCTATTTTTAGTTTATACTTGATGTTGATTGGAGTTCTGGATCAATCGGTCTCACCTCAATCACTTTTTGAGTCTTTCCCATGTTAATATGTAATCTTTGATCACATTTAGGTAGGCTATTTCTGCAGGACTGAGAATGCCCATGGTACACATTCTTATTTTCCATTTTTCGGGATGCTATCTTAAGTTTTTTCACCACGTTATTTGGACAAGTTTCATCCCTTGTCCTTTGGAATTGTTTTGGTTCCATGTTTTTTGTCGGGTGATCTGAGTTTTACCCAACTTCCACATTTTGGAGGATTTTACCAACACTATTAATTAGATGTCTAGCTTTGGTTAGCTTCTTCCAAATGGGGGTAGTCTTAACATACTTATCTATTCCTTCCACATTCAGCTCGGGTAGTAGGATTTTTCTCGTCTCTTTGGGGAGTGTATTGTTAAACACCCCCCTCTGTTGGGACTGTCTATGGAATTTTTTATTATTCAAGCCATTACAGTTTACTATCTTACTGCTAGCAAGGTTCTAATGCATTGGGGGATTTGGTTTATATGGGAGCACTTCTCTTTTTGGGTCTAGTACATTTGCGATCTTTTTAGGAGGTGCTACATGACCTATGGTCTCTTGCTAGGGTTCTTTTGAATTTTCCTCTTAACTTTCATTGTTCCTTATCTGACTATATGCATTTGTGGTTTAATATCCCCCATGACGTCAGGTTTACTGCCTCCTCTCCCTCTTGTTTCTCTTTCCTGATGCTCATCTTCAAAGGTAGGGTGTGTGTGTGGTTCGATCAGTAGGAGGCTTCAGGACAATGATCTACAGAGGAAAAGTCTTAACACCTTAACATCCTGACACTTCTGCCAGTCCAGTGTGCTTTAGTTCACTCTCTTTCTCTTGTCGAGGTTTGACTAATTATGTTTCATTCCGACTATTCAACATTGGTGACTTATATCACTCACCAAGGAAACACTCATTCTTATTCCCTTTGTGGTAGACAGTGGATCTCTCTTAACCCACATGCTTGACATATGTCTCCAGGAGTGTAGTGTTCCAGGAGCTTTTGTGTTCTTTGCTGATTCACTTTCCAGTCTTGGCACTTTCTCCCAAGGAGTGACCTCTTGATCCTCCAATTTTTAGTGGATTGGCCTGCTGTGGGGTATTCCTCCACGTGAATTTTTTGTATTTTTTCTCGATTCCAAGTTACCTCTTTGTTGTTGGTCTCTGGTTCATTATCCACTTGCCCTAGCTGTGGATATGTTCAGACAGGATAAGATCCAGTTTATAATTTTAATTTTTTCTCATTCCATCAGGTTTCTTCCATAAATGTTCTTCGTTCATTCATGTCAGGTCTTTCTGGTTGATCTTTCCTTACTGGCACAGATCTGGTTTTCTTGGCTGTTTTGGCATAATATTTTCTTTTTGTTCTGGATCGATTTTATTAACCTACCTTTTTGGGGCTCATGTGGTATATTCTTTTCTACTTTTTCATTTTTTGACATCTTCCAACTTCATTCTTGGTCAGGTCCTAATGACCTTCTCTGTCCAGTACATGCTGTGGATTGCTTCATTGCTTTCAAGGCTTCTTTTTGTTATATCCATTTCTCGCGGTTTCAATCCCTTACACTACTCCTTTGTTTGTGATTCCCCCCCCCCTTCTTCCCTTATGCATTGGGTTCAGATTGTGATTTGATTGGCCTTTTATTCCTTGTCTCCTTCTTTCCATCATCAGTTTCCGGCATTTTCACTCTGATCATGCACCCATGCTGTCGATAAGTTCAGACAGGATTAGATCCAGTTTATAAATTTAGTTTTTTCTCATTCCATCACTCTTCTTCCCAAAATGTTTGTTCATCCACGTAACTGAGGATTCTGACACACTTTATCCCAAGCAGTCAGTGACCTCTTGATCCTCCAATTTTTGGATGGTTTTTTTTCTCTTTCTCCCTTACCTATTGGGTTTGGATTGTGATTTGATTGGCCTTTTATTCCTTGTCTCATTCTTCCAGTCATTAATTCCTAGCACTTTCACTCCGATCATGCACCTTCCTTTTTCCTAGTGCAATTACTTCCTCCATCTAAGTCATTCCATCACTTTTAAATTACAAAGACATCTTTACAATACTGGAAGTCGGGTTCCTGGATCAGTCAATCAATTTATCACATTGCTATCACGTGTTCCGTTCATAGATTGGGGGGGTATGAGATCCCCTCCGGTCTGACGGTATGATCCTCTTTCCTGCCCCCACCAGATGGCTGGGTTTTGGATTGTGAATGTTCTCCATCCATATTGTGGGTCATGATGGAAGTACTTGCAGATTAATACAGTTCTTCCTCCCACACTACCCCCTCAATGATTTTATTATACTGCTGGTGTAGATGATGAACTGTTTTCCACTATGTATAATTGGAGTGAGCCGTCAAAATTGCATTTCACCCCTTCGATGGGTTCCCTGATCCTAACCCCACATGGATGTCAGTTCCCAGTGGCTGAGTTTCACATTTAGAACTGAACCAATCAACATAAGTCTTCACATGTATTACAAGTGTCTATATTTCCTCACTCAGTTATACTCTTGTTCTCCATGTGTGTTGTGGGTCAATATGGAGGTACTTCCAGATTAATACGCTTCATCCTCTTACACTATTCCTCTGATTTTTATTATACCATGGATGTTATTGCACTAGGGGCGGTTCCTTTCAGTTTGGTTTTGAGTGAGATGGTTTACACTACAAAGACATCTTTATAATACTGGAAGTCGGGTTCCTGGATTGGTCAATCAGTCTCTCACGTTGCTATCATGTGTCCTGTTCATAGATTGGGGTATGAGATCCCCTCTGATTTGATGGACCTTGAGGTGAAGATGGAATAATCCTCTTTTATACCCCCACCAGATGGCTTAGTTTTGGATTATTGTTAACTTGCTGCTGGTATGATCCTCTTTCCTACCCCCACATGGATGTTGGTTCCCAGTGGCCTGGGTTTTGGATTTTAGTTGACTTATCGATGGTATAATCCTCATCCTTCTCCCTCCTCATGGATGTCAATTCTTGGTGGCCTGGGTTTTGGATGCAGTTGTCTTGCCATGTATGTTCTGTCGCACCCTAGCTGCTCTACACCTAGAGGGACATCCTTTTACTTTCACCCACACTGATGTACTCTATTGGATAAAGATTCCAATATCGTGTGGTTTGAATCTCTATCCAACCATTATTCTCTCTCTTTTAGTTGTGCTCCTCTTTCCACGCTGGACGAAGAGTATATATGGTACAGAAGTAGTGCAGTTCTCCCATGTATGATCCTCTACTCTTTGGAGGTGTCCTTCAGACACTTTCAAAGGATGCTTCTTTCTTGCTTTCCCTTGCACTGGTCCCTCCACCTATTCAATGTGGGTTTCTAGCTATTTATGTGAGGGGAGGTAATGTACCTTATCAGAAGTTATAATTTTCCTATACTGAAAATATATTTCTTATACGTACTTATCTCCTCTCACGCTTCCCACCCTTCCTCCCCACTGAAAACTGGTTCTTCCATTTTCTGCCAAAACTCGAAGTGATAGTTCGGTAGGATTGAATAGAGGGAAGCACATGCATCAAAAGAGTGTGTCACGCTCTTATTGGTGGAGGGTTGTTGCATGGTGATTTGCATGCAAGACGCATTTGAATCAGTCAATTGTAAAGTACATGGGAGCTCAAGGAAAGATAGTATATATTTACAGGAAATATAGTATACATTTAAAATGTGTAGACAGAGTTTGGATAGACTGGTTATTAACTCTCCATTAATCATAGAATCTACTTAGGTTTTCATTATATGTAATAGTAAATTATTTACTTTTCATTAATTTATTTGTGCTAGAAGAGCTTTCATTGGATGAATTTGATTAGTACAGATTTTCCAAAGATGAGCTCTAACTTTTATTATTTTAAGAGTAAACCTATAAATCAATATGAGGATGTAACAGACCACCAGAGGGATAATATGAAGTAAAAGTAAAAAGTGACTTTTGCCACTGATTTCTGTGTTAATGGATTCTCACCTGTTACAAGATGTGTTAATTTGCATACCATTGTTGGGGTATGACTTTCTGCATGTCTCTTTCTGATGCCCAAAGGTGATGTGTTTTCCTTTGTTTTCTGATGCAGTTAACTACAAGGAATATTCTCATCTTGGAAATTCTACATCATTATATTTTGAGTATATAAATATTTTGCATCAGATAGGGCTGTTACATGCCCTTCCTGAAACCTATCAATGTTTGGTGGCATAATACTACCTACAAAATGCAGTTCTGATGCATTCTGTTCTACCTTAACTTTACATAGTGGCTGTGGTTTTCATGTGACTTACTGATTTGCATATTCAAAATCATTTTAATGTAACATACTAAACCCTCTGTATAAAGACTTGTTTTTTCATTTTAAAAAAGTAAATACAGTGAGAGAAATGCTATCATAAACAATATCTTTGTAAACTGTAGTGACAACCTGTTTCAATTTTTATTCTAGTTATTTACCAGAAAATAAAACATGTCCAGGAGGTGAGGCAGCATGGAGTAGTAGTGGAACTGAGTGTAGTGGCCAGTTAAACCCCTGCAATTATTTAAATGGTAGGTTTTATGTATCCATATACCTTTCAAGTTAAAACTTAGAGGGAAAAAATCACTTTTGAAATGTAGACTCATGCCAAATAACTGTTGTAAAATAATGAGGTTTAATATTCATAATAGCATTAGAGGTTTGTGTTGTAATAATGAATTAAAAATATATACATTTCAGTATCCTGTACTGAAAATGGTCAATGTCACCACCTGGGACCAGGTATAGCCAAATGTGGTTGTCTACCAGGACATTATGGATACAAGTGCCTTAGGCAGGTAGGTTAACACAGTGTTTCAACCTGAGAAGGAATGAATGAGTCTCCAGTGAACACTTACTTTAGAAACAAAAAGACGGGTAATTTTTAATAACATATACCAACTGTTAACAGCACCTTAAACAAACCTGGTGATGTGTCTTTGTCCTGGTTGGCTTAGTTTTTAAAAATCCAACAGTGTGTCTCAGCCCCCAGTGGTTCATTTTCAAATGAAAATACTTAATGTGAAAAACAATGCTATTCTGCATTTCTTTTAAGATAAACAAGGTAATGACTACTTGTTTGAATACTTACTACCACTTTTCAGACTTAAGTAGAACAAACTTCTGGGAAGAACATTTAGTTTCAGCAAAAATGATCACAATAAATAGTGTAAAACTACATGTATATAAAATATACACCTGGAAAAAAGTTAAGCACCCCCGTGTTTTTTTCAAGTGATTCAGATTCGACGTTCTTGTGACTGATTATAAATTACCATTCAGTCTAAACGTGTTTATC